GCCCAGAGATTGCCTTATCAATTTTAGGTTTCAGAAGAAACATATTACAAACATATTAAATAAAAATTCAAAATCAAATAGTTAGGTTATGGGTTAGAAGTTAGAACTTGTCCGTGTGATGTTGGTAGTGTTGCCAAAGTTCAAATTTACCTAAACAATTTTCACATCAAAAATCCGTAATTACGCAATAATGGCGTAAATTAATCAATGAAAAAGACTTAAATAGATTTACAATACATTTCTAATTCTATTATAGCCGCTTATTTTATTAATAATATTAGAAATAAGTCAAATATGTCAACACCGTCGTTCTGCTTTTTAGCGTGATGCGTATTAACGTTACCGCTACTCAGACGTAAATAAAGGTACACGTTATCCTCTAATAACGTAAACGGTTATTTCTTTACTATTGCACATGCTCAGAATAACGGATAAYGTAAAGYGTGTTGCAATTAAAKGGCCCAAAAAAMTTCCCTATTAAAATTAGCAAATGGTGTTAAAATTGTTAAATAAATGTAAACAGTCTATGTACTAACTCATCTCAGTTAAGGGACTAATTTCGTTTGCTGCTCTAAACTAAAAACCCGAGAAAATGATCAGTTTGAGATTTTCCTTTTTTATCATACTTTTGTTTCAATATGCATTAATTTATGGGTGTTTTACACAATTCAATAAAATGTCCACAATTAACCAGGCGTCGAAATACATTCTAGAACCTCGTCCTAACATTATCAAATATTACAATAAGTCCACGGGCGGTATTGAGTTAATTGTCAGAATGATAAGCTACTACAGAATGTCTGCAGGAATTGAATAATGGCTAGTGAAAACGATGTTACACCTTATCGATCTATAAATAGCTAACTATTGGGTTTTGTACAGTGAGGATCGCAAAAGAATGGGAACACAACCAAGCCGATTTTGAAATTCCTCGACTTCAAACTTCAACTCGCAAACACATTACTGACTGTTAAAGATAACACTATTAATGCTGAAAACTCAAACTTGATCTTAAGGCTAATCACTAGAAATCATCCACAAGGATAAGCTTTTTCGCCAAAATCAACACTAAATAATTCAAGACGGGTTAGCACGTCGAAAATTGAAATTGTTTTTATAATTACCACGTTGCACTTTAATTTTATAAACATTGAAATGTGTGTGCGGGATGTAAGTAATTGAGATCCAGTGTCAGATTGACAATTTTTTTTTCAAAAATTAGTTGGGATAGAAAAATTTTCAAAAAATGTGGGTAGTTTTTAATACCCAAAAAATCCTTGGATGATTTTTTGTCAAATTCTACAATACCATTTTCATTCGGATCCCAGGAGGATATTCGAGAAACGGTTTATTAAGGAACTACAGGGTGTTTAAGTTTGGCTTTAAAAAATCAAATTTGTTAATTGTTTCCCACCGTCTATGGATATTGAAACGACTATTTGCAAACAATAACTGCCAACGAACGAGCACATTTTGCAATAAGAACAAAATTTTTGGTTGTGTCAGTGGCGTCCGTACTGACAAGTTAATGGATGATTTAAAAAAATGCGCCATTTGTTTTTTCATTAAATAAAAATAAGGTTTAGATTCATTTAGATGTAAAGGAAAAAAGGCTTATTTCAATTTAACTGCAAAGCTCAGCATTTTCAAGTAAAAAATAAATCAATTAATAAAACACCATGAAATCAATCAATAGAAAAAAAAATAGTTCAATCAATGTTCCTCATCAACGAACACTATAGAACTTACTCGAAATGCAGTAAAATCATTTTGAAATATGTTCGTTTTTGTACCTAAACCAATTCTATGAAAATGGCAACAGTTACACTCCGCCAACGCAATTGCACCTGCAAGTGGCTAAATAATAATTAGGAATTAAATAAATGATAATGTGGTGAATAAAATTGGACCAGTGGCCCGGCCATCCAGACTTTTGCGTTTGGGGACATGGGTAAAAAACAAAGTTTATTCTACTCCAGTTTTAACCAGAGATAATTTAATCTCAAATGGCAAAATCTCAATCAGCTGTAATAAGTTCATCAGTTAGACGTTCGAAGATGTCGAAAATGTAATTAAGTGGGTGGACTACAATTCGCACAATTTTTTTTATTAAGGCTATTGCTTGTGCGCTGTGACGACGGCCCTGATGATAACGTAACTGTCGAAAGAGATGGCCACAATCTTTTTAAACAAGAAATTATACACTTTACTATTACTTCCACGATTTGTTAATTCATCTCTTTAATTTTTGCTGTTGTAATAGACTACGGATTGAATTTGCGAATTATACAGTTTCATTAAATAATTATCAGCTATATTTTTATTTACATCTGAATGAAAATCCAAGTCTGATTTTTATTTTACGTAAAAACAGTGGGCATAATTTTTTTCTTTAAACACATCCATTAACTTGTTAGTACAGACGCTACTGACAAAACAAAAAAGATAGTTTTACTTCAAAATGTGCTCCAGCGGTGGCATCTCGTCCTATTGCCGCAAAATTTTGTGAAAATATCCACAGCCGTTACACGCCAACAATTAATAAATTTGATTTTTTAGTCAAACTTAAACACCCTGTATGTCCTTAACAAAACGCTTCTCGAATATAGCTTATCATCCAATGCAAACTCATAGTTTTCCGATTCTCAGTCGTTTCTCGAATTTTTCGCTTGGAAAACTGGATCCCACTTTCAAGGGGATTTTCCGAAACGAAAGTTGATTCCGAGACATAATCGTTAAGAACATCGAAAGCTAGCGTATATTTAGAAACGAATTGTACATTAATCCGTACAAAATTGCGGGGGCATACACCAGTGCAAGGGCTCAGGACTCAACGCAAAGTTAGCAAATCGCAGGACGTCCAATACAAGGCGTTTATCGCTCCCCTGCGTCGTTGTGTAAGGCAGGAATCGACCCGAATGATAAAGTTCTAATTTCGCTTTGAAACTATTATCTGACAAGATAGATAAGGGGTGAGGGTGACGAGAAGGCCCTAGAACATACAGGGTGTACCGTTCCAATTTCATATCAGGAAAAAAACAGTAGGAATACTAGTTTTGATGGGAACAAACCTACTTTAATTCTGTATCAAAAAATTTACATAATTAGTAAAATTTAAATTCAAGTTTACAACCTGTAAATCGAAAGAATAAGCTACTCGAATAATTTATGAACAGAAAGTTTCAGAGATTAAAGCTGGTATCTATCTTACATTTTTATGAAAGGTTCCTGTTGTTTTACCATTATTGGATAATCAAGAGTAATGTTTCATAAAAATCACCCAGACTCTGCAGTTTGACCAGCTTACAAAATATCGCTCATAATGGCAAATTTCTTCTCTTATTAAAAGTCGCATCTTGCAAACTAACCCAGCAAGCAATTTGGAATATTCACTATCTTTAGGAGAAACCTTGACTCTACAAGATGCAGAGATTAGAAAATTTCACTTTTAAAATAGTTGTTTTCATTCAACTGCGTTCTATCCTTCGGAAATTTGCGTCAAAATATGTTTCCGGACTCGCCCTCCCAGGATGAAGGGTTTAAAAAAACAAATAAAAAAGGGGAAGAAAAGACAACTCTGGCCCTACCCAGAAATGCCAACTTTTTCATAGCAAATTTCCGTATATCGCTTCTGAAACATCCGTATAAATCCGTAGGCAAATTGTTCAGGCGCACTGTACTGTGAAAAGGCAACTAATAGGAGGATAATGGTACAATACCAGCTAACGAAACCATAATATTAGGTACTCAAGTTATTTATTCAAATGTGATTTTTTTGTACAAAAGCTATGAATGCTACAAGATTTTACAAAGAGTGCAAAACATGTTCAAATCGGATTAGTGCATCAACTTAGATAAAATTAAATGCTTTCAGCTACCAAATAAAAAGTTCTCGCAGTTTTAGTATGAAGGCATTAAAGAGTTCTTCACTTGCCCCAAGCGGATGAACTCGGTTGCCGCATTAAAACCAGAGTCTATGAAATCCATAGTGCTATTTTCTCGATATTTCAAAAAACATAATTGTTTTAAAAAACTTTGACCATCAATAGCAGAGAAGGACATTTTCTTAAAATAAAATTTAGGTCATATGGTCTTCACTTGAGCCAAAGCATGTATCAGTGCTCTTTTGGTCACGTGAGCACGGGACACCCATGTGATTGATTCCTTGCAATTATTTTCTGTGGTATTATTAAAAATCGCTGGTTCCTCGGAATCTCCCTGCTTAAGCTTACGGCTGCCGGCGTAAGCCGCCCCGTTTTATTCGACTAAAGGTCTATAAGAAATGTACAATTCTGAATTTATAGACAACTATTTGCCATTATTGTTTATAAAGGCAACTATTTTAAAATCCGGATGCATAGAAAATGTATAAAATTCGCCCGGACCACCCGGACGTAGTGAAAACCCGGAATAATCGTGACTGACCGGATTAAATCGGGCGTCTAGTGCCCAACCGTACCCTTGGTAGAAGAACAATAACTTACGAACCGAATATGCAGCCAATAAAGAAACACAAAAAATGCACTTAAAATGATGAAATACCAACAAATGCCAAACAATGAAAAACCAATAAGGTGATAAATAAAATGACAAATAAACTGATACAACACAGTAATGTTATTATTGGAACTTACCGGGTAAAGGCATATCGGTGTTGAGCAAATAAGGCTGAATGCTAGGTGAAGCCAAGTCTAATGGAGACTTTCCCTTTGAGTTTTTAACGTGGATGTCTGCGCCTTTTTCTATCAAAAGTTTGATTATTTTCAGATGACCATTGATGACGGCATCGTGAAGGGGAGTATCGTTATCCAAACCTGAAATACGTATCTTAATATAAGAAATTGTTCAGTAATATCATATAGTTCAGTCAATTTAGTTTAATCTGTCTACTGTTTATACCTTTCGCATTAATGTTAGCACCTGCTTGGACCAGCCTCGCAGCTACTTCATGCCAACCATGGTTGCATGCTTCATGTAGAGGAGTCCATCCTAAGAGATCATTAAAGTTCAATAACTTCCTGAGTGAAACATTTTGGGTAATTTAAAAACAGTTCTCATAAATCGGGGTTTTCTCACCAAGAAGAACGTAGCGTTATTGAAAATATTTTATAAACGTAAAGCAATCTATAAGTGTACTCGTGCTGAGCAGATTTAACCAAGATTTAAGGCTTCCTTGGAAGACCTTACTGTCGCGGACAAATCCAATAAAACTGTTAAATTACCAGCAAAATCGGCTACATTAGGATCAGCGCGATGCGCTAACAATCTACAGACTTGGTCAACATCGCCCTTAATAGCCGCTAAATGCAAGGGGGTTTCACCTCTTTCATTGCGGTCTCTGGTCTTCGAGCTTGTGTTACTGGGACTTCGAGAACCTTCTCCAGACGAGGTCATCTGCATTAGCAAAGCCATCTGTTGACGCTCTGACATCGGGGTCACGGGGGGCGCTCTCGTGTTCGTATTCGAGCCTTTGGGACGCACATTTGCAGGCATGTTTTCCTGACAGAAATAATTTTGATTTAAAAGTAAAAACCCATTTTTACCCGTGCCTCAAACTTTGGTTAACCTTCGGGTGAAGGTGCACTTTATCTCTGGTGAGTGTCGGCGTTCTTTTTAATTTTCCCTTAAAGTAACCTTAAATAAAGCACATGCGCGGATTCTTTATAGTCCGTTTTCCAAATTTTCGCTGGTGAAACACTACACTTTCCAACCACAGGAGCCCTAAGTTAACCTATTTGGATTTTAAGTAGATCACTTACCTACAATGTTTTGTGTGTAAAAATATTCTTATTATTTGAGGAGTACTTGATTTGCAAGCTCCCTGAGTAAAACAAGAAGACTAAATTCGGGAAAATGCATAATTGTTTTCCAATTATAAGAAAAACCGAAAATTCAAACAAGAACTACGCCAGAGACAAGTGCATGTCTCTTGTCTCTAACCACGCATTTGAACCATAGATAAAGACAAAAGACTGACATATTTGATTTGACATAAGATTTGAACAATGATGCAATGACAGACGCCAGTAGGGATGACACGAAATACTTGTCACAGGTATTTGGGAACAGATATCGATAGGAAACAGTCGGTACCTGTTATCGATATATCAAATAACATGTGATTTGAAATCATGATACAATGAATACAAGGTAGGATATTAATCTGTCGAAAACTCGATTTTCGTGCGCACATTAGGTCGCTGGTTACCACTTTGGTAAAGTGAACAGCTGATCCCATTTAAAATGCATGTAACCTAGACAAATTTTCACTGAATTCAAAACGCAATAATTCAAAAATGGAAAGTTATGAGGATATGATTTGCAGCATTGCATAGCCCAATGCTTTGAAAATCGCGTTTGGGACATAATTTAGGCTTATTGGGAAGAAAAATACCCTAAATAATTCTTTACAAAATCTCTGATTTTCAGCGTTTTAGCGTGCTGTGTTGCCAGAGTGTCATTT